CATGGGGAATTACAGACCTGTTAGCCTTATGTCCATTGTAGGAAAAAACAATGGAAAGGCTCATAATAGCGAGAGATCTAGTGATGCTAGATAGGGAAGGGAGGCTGATGGCCACACAACATGGCTTCCGCAAAAACAGGTCCTGCCAGACAAACCTTGTGGGATTCTGGATGGAGGGGTCGCAGTGGATGTGGTTTACCTGGATTTCAGCAAGGCCTTTGACAAAGTGCCCCATGATATCCTGGTGGAGGAACTGAGGAGTTTTGGGATACACCAAAGCATTGTCCGGTGGATTAGGGCATGGTTGACTGACCGAAAGCATAAGGTAACCATTAGCGGGGAATCATCGGGATGGCGGCCAGTGACAAGCGGGGTCCCCCAGGGCTCTGTCCTGGGGCCGATCCTGTTTAATCTTTTCATTAACGACATGGAAGAAGGGGTGAACAGTCTGCTGATCAAATTCGCAGACGACACTAAAACTGGAGCAGTGGCCACAACTGAGGAGCAGGTACTCTGGATCCAAAAGGATCTGGACAGACTATGGAAGTGGGCAGGAGACAACAGGGTGGCGTTCAATGTGGATAAGTACAAGGTCTTGCACTTGGGGCATGGGAATGGGTGTCATAAGTACAGGTTGGGGGACAAGTGGCTGCAGAGCAGCGCTTGTGAAAGGGACCTCAGGGTGCTGGTTGACTGCAGGCTGAACATGCGATGGGCAAGAGGGCGAACGCCACCCTTGGTTGCATAGCCAGAAGTGTGGCTTCTCGATCGAGAGAGGTGTTGCTACCACTCTATATGACTCTGGTGCGCCCACAACTGGAGTATTGTGCTCAGTTCTGGGCCCCTCATTACAGAAAGGATATAGCCAGGTTGGAGTCAGTGCAGTGAAGGGCCACCAAGTTGGCGGCCGGTTGCAGGGGAAGCCGCATGAGGCGAGACTGAGGGAACTGGGTCTCTTCAGCCTGGAGGAGACTCAAAGGGGGCCTGTTGGCGACATGCAGGTGTGTGAGGGGGAGTCACACGGAGGTGGGTAGAGACCAGTTCTCCCCTGCAGAGGAAGGCAGGACGGGCTCCAACAGAGCCAAGCTCAGGGAGCCAAGGTTCAATTTGGATGCCAGGAAGCACTTCCTGGCAGTCAGGACCCCGAGGGTGTGGAATGGGCTTCCCCAGGAGGTGGTGGAGGCCCCATTGCTGAGGGTGTTCAAGGAATGGCTGGACGTGCACATGGTGGGCATGTCGTGAGCGGAGCTGGCTGGAGCCTAGATGGCCTGGGAGGTCTCTTCTGACTCGCTCTGTTTCTATTTTACTATGCTATGAATCACAAAATAAAAGAGGGCTGGGTATTCCAGATGTTAAAAAGTATTGGGTTACAAATCAATTAAAGATAGTCCCGGATATTATAGGCCAAAGCAAATAACTAATATGAAGTGATATTGAATTAAAAGAATTAAGGAAAATAGGTGATCACTTAGAGACATACTGATTTAAAAAGGATAAAAAAGATTATTAAAAGAATTCACAATCCCTTTTTAAAAAATATGATGAAAGTATGGGAAAAATGGAGACAGCAATTAATGCCAGGAACACCAGTGGTTGAAATGGAGAAATTACCAAAAATAGAATCAAACGATTGGATTAATAAACTAAAAAAAATAAGCAAATATATAAATGGAAAGACTGGAAAAATAAGATAAAAAATATAACACAATTAAGGTGTATATTGGCAGATGCCAAATTAAATTGGTTAAATTTAATACAATTGGAAAAATGAATAAAGATGGAGGGGAAATGTAAAGAGGAAGAAAGACAATTAACAAAATTTGAAATGATTGTGAGTAAGGAATGTGAGTTTAAGGAAGAATATACAGGTAAAGGAAGAACTGCTAAAATTTATAAAATATTAATAGAATTAGGGGATCAGACAAAAAGTTTAAAATCCATTTGGGAAATGGATGTAGGTGAAATAAAAAATGAGGATTGGAAGAATGTTTGAATTAAAGAGTATATAAGAATATATCAATTAGAATTAAAGAACATGGATATAAAGTGATATGGAGGTCATATTTAACGCCAGTTAAGCTAAACCAAATTGATGATGAATATTCTAGTATCTGTTGGAGATCTGGAAAAGAGATTGGAACTTACAAACATATGTAGTGAGATTGTGATAACAGACAAAAGATTTGGATTATGGCATTTAATGAAATTAGAAAAATTTCTAGTATTTCTAGTATAAATTTAGAAATGTCACCAAGAATTGTGTCATTGTTGTTGACTGAAAAACAAGACATAAATGAAGTTAAGACAGAACTAATTTTAAATTTGATAATGGCAGCCAGATTAGTAATGATTAAATATTGGAAACAGAACTGGGTTACTAAAAGGAATGCATGGTACAATGAAATATGGAATGTGATTGTTAATGATAAATCGACAACAGAAATATAAATTAAAAAATTGATAAGTAAATAAATATGGGAAGATTTTGTAAAAGCAGTATTGATGGAAGGGAAAGGCTGTAAGCCTAATCAGGAATATATATATGAATTTTTGGAGGGAATATGGGTATAATTAAAATACATTATATACTGTTAATTGTTACAATATGTGAAGTAAAATGGAAGTATCAATTCGTCTCCTGGGGAACGAGCACAGGTGTTCATTGTTAATTGAGACGCTAATATTATTGATACATCTTGAAGAAAATGTATTTGTACTCCAATTGTATTTATGTTTTGTTTAAAATAAAATAAAATGGGGAGGGGGACAAAGTGGTCTTTGGATTTTGGTGTTAGAAAGATGTCCTTTTTAATTAAAAGAAACAAAAACCCAAAATCTTCTGGATCAGAACCTGCAAGTAAGCAAGAGGGAGGGGGTGGGGGGCACCTTCAAAAGCTGCCCTGGTGGTCCATGAGGTCGTGGCTTGTACCCTCTCATGCCTTCCATATCAGGTGTCCGTTCGTTGCTTGCTTGCTTTGGAGGAGGTCAGCCTTCCACAGAATGGACTAACACCATGCCGTGTCACTGCGAAGCCTCGAGACCGAGCAATTGCTTGGGCAGTTCATCTGCTTTGCAAGGCTCCTGTGCAGCCCTAGGGACAGATTCGAATTGCTGATCTCACCCACGCATTTTTGAAGGGAATGCAATGGTTGGGTCTCTTCCTAATTAGGGGCTTTTCTACACGAGATATTCAACTTGGCTCTTTACTGAAGCAGCTTCTCCCATTTCTTAGTGGAGCAAGATTGATTTTTATGCAAGTTATTTTTTTAGCTTCCCATTGCAAAACTGCAAGGTGACGCTGTGGGATTGTGCCATTGCAGAAACGTCTCATACTCATCTTTGGATGAAATTGAGCACGACGACTAAATAATAATTTGATGGCCTGGCTCCAAAAAGCAGAGGTGCAAAGTCACAAGAACGCCTCCTAAATGACCATGAGTGTAGATTCAAATAAAATACCTTGAGGTACAAATAAATACCTTTCATCCAGAACCCTTAATTAGCCAGGCACTTTCTTCCTTGCCATCTTAAATGGCAAAAGTAAACACCTTTTCCCATCTTCAGAAGGCCAGAGTAAGATTTCTTCTCCTTCAATAATGTGGACATTTCAAAGAAGCTAAATATTGCTCTAGTTCTTCTTGCTGCTATTGGAATCTTTAAACACCATTAAAACAATCTTTTAATCCGGTTGTGCATTCTTTAGGCAGGTATGTTTGAAGCCAAAAGTTTTGATGTTTATCCTTTTAGATACAGCCCTGGCCTAAAGGGAGGGCCTCAGATGTGTTGAACTACAACTCCCACCATCCCCAACCAGCTTGTCAACACATCGATGAATTTGTGGTGGGTGTGTCAGTGAGCACTTGTGAGCCATGAAACAGTCCCTGATTTGGTTGTATTGTAATTCAGAGTACCTGAGCCAGCCCGTTTATGTCCTTGTAAATGATGCAGGGAAGCAGCTGTTTTCCTGCTTCCAGTCCCATATCCAACATGAAGGATCATTTTTAATGTGTTGAGTGGAGAGAGAAATGAACTGTAATCTACAGCAGGAAATGTCTTTATTTTTATCCAGAGCCACAAAACATACCTATGACAAGGGGTTTAAGGCAAGCAGAACTGAAAGAAAAGCCAGGGATCAGCATGGAAACATGACAGTGTGTACGTCACAAGTTCCCAGCCGGAAAGGACAAACAGAGTTCAGAAAGAAAACAAAAAGCTTTCTCAGATGTCCCGTTTCAAAGAGGAAGTAGTGCTAATCCAAAGCAAACATCTGGGTCCAGTTGATGCCTTTCCTCATTGTTCTTGCAGAAAAATCCCAGCCTCCAGGACGGTTTGTGACCTCAAACATTTCTGTATGTTTCCTGTTTGTGCTGCAGTGTGCTTGAATATAAAAGGTGAGCTTGGCTGGTTCTGGGTGTCACAGCAGAGCAAGATTTAGCGCTGGGTTCGAGGAAGCTTTACCTGAAAAGATGGGTTGTTCTCCCTTCTGCCCCTTCCTCATCATCTTGGGCATCTTCTCCTCATGTGGTAAGTTGGCTGGTTTTATTCTCCCTTCTGTCTCTCCACCTTTCTTTTCTCAGCGTCTCCCAAACAGCAGAGAGTTGAAAGCTGTTGTTCGTTGCAAAGTCACGTCCAACCCATCGCGACCCCATGGACAACATTCCTCCAGGCTCTCCTGTCCTCCACCGTCCCCCGGAGTCCACCCAAGCCCACACCCACAGTCCCCAGCCACCTCAACCCCTTCTTTGGCCTTCCATCTTTCCCAGCATCAGGGTCTTTTGCCATCTTAGTTTTCTTAATGTTGAGTTTCAAGCCAACCTTTGCACTCTCCTCCTTCACCCGCATCCAGAGGCTCTTCAGTTCCTTTTCACTTTCTGCCATTACAGTGGTATTGTCTGCATGTCTGCGGTTGTTGATATTTCTCCCAGCAATCTTAATTCCAACTTGAGATTCAGAACTGTGATTGTAGAAAGCATATCTCAGTGTGATTTGCATTATTTATTAGATTTATATCCCACTTTTTTCCAATGAACTCAAAGCAGTTTACATCATTCTCCTCCTGCTTCCCATCTTATTCCCACAACAGCAACCCTTTGAGGCAGGCTGAGCTGAGAGTCTGGGACTGGCCCAAAGTCACGCAGCAGGTTCCATGGCTGAACGAGGACTAGAACCCAGATCACCTGAGTTTCAGATCCACACTTTTAACCACTACCCCACACTGTCTCTCTTAGATGAGCAAAGATTGGTGCCTTCCAACTGTTTAACAGCAGCAACAAAGAGAACCTTGTACAAGGACACAAACTCCTAAATTATGTAGTCGAAATGCAGGAACCTGGAGGTTCCCGGGAAGATTTGTGGGCTCTGCTCACTTCTGATCCTTAAAGAATTCTGAGCCCCAGAAATTAGTTCTAACTTTTTCTTTGTACCAAATTTCTGTGGCTTCAGAATTTGCAGGGCGTGGAGGTCCAAGGGTTCTGTATATTTTTCACATATGAAAAATGCTCTTCAACTTACTTACCTCCCTGCTTTGCTTTCAACATTCCTGCCATTCTGGGGGCAGGGGCAGAATGAACCCTGAAATGAAACCCCAACGATAAAGCTATTTTGCTTTTTAAATTCCTTTAAATAATGGCCCTGCAGTGGGAGTAAAACTTGTTTCGGCTGCCCACAGGCTAAGTGCATTTACCTGAACTAAACTTCAGTAGACAAGGAGGAAAAAAAACAGCCTCATGTAAAAGGAAGGAAATAAGCCATGGCGCCTTCCCCTCCAGGTTGCTGTGATTGTAAAACATTTTGAAAAAGTATGGGCTGTGTAAACCACCCCATTTGGTTGTGGGATGTTACAGAATAAATACATTAGAAAGAAACGGTGTCACATGGTCCTTGGGTTCAGGTGCCAATGCCAGCCAGGTCAGTCCTTCACGGCCCCTTTACCTGCTGCCCTCCATATGGACATAGAATCCCATTAGTCCCAGGCAGCTTCAAGGATGCTGGGAGCTGTAGTCCAAGACGGGTGGGGGTGGCCAGGTCAGAAAGCCTGCTCTGGAATAAGACCTGGGAAAACACAGGGCTGAGTGGGTTCGTCACGCCCCGGGGGAGGGGGGGCAGAAGAAATGCTAGCGAGCTGCTATCAGGCAAGCTCCTTCACTGCGCTCTTCTGTGCAACAGGACACAGCGAGATCAATACCCATGTCTTGGGACCTGAGAAATAAAAATCTAAGGAGGGGGCTGCACCCCAGTCTTTTGTTTCAAAGGTGGGCAGGCTGCCCTCCAAAAAGAAGAAGACAGCTTGTGGGGAGGGGGGCAGGTGAAGAAACTTATGGTGTGGGGCTTGAAGGTGGGAAGCGTGTGTTTTGCAGAGCTTCCTCACTTGGCCTTCTGGGAAACAGACACCCTGTGATTCATAAGGCAAAGATTTTGCAAAGGGGCAAGTCACCAAGGCAGATCGTCATGGCAGCCATTTTGTGAAGATGCCCATGCCTCGCTCTCCAAATCCCACTGGCTCTTGAACTAGCCAGACCTTTTGCTTGCATTGAGTAAATCTTATCATCATTTTCTACAAACTAAAAAAAAGAAACTAAAAAACATCAATCATCAGAAACATCAGACCTGCTGGGTCAATCGCCCATATTTTTTTTAAGAGCAATCCGTAAATATATTCACATCTACATAGAGTCCCGTTTCTCTAGCCAATGATAAAAGGAGTTCCAAGTTTGGTAGAAGTATGTATCCTCTTTCTCCTTCAAAGTCAGTCAGACCTTTTGCTAAATTTACAGGATTCCTCTTTACATACCAAAAGATCTTTCAGCTTCCCAGCCCCATTCTCTTTGGATTGGAATTAAGCTTCTTTGCTGTACCGATATTCCGAAAGACTAATGTGCCATGTTGGTGTCCCTCTCTCTCTCTCTCTCTCTCTCTCTCTCTCTCTCTCTCAGCGGCTCGTCCCAGGGGACGTATCCTGGGGGGGCAAGAGGCACCCCCACACGAGAGGCCTTACATGGTATCACTTCAGGTGAACGGGACACACGTCTGTGGGGGCTTCCTGATTACGGACGAGTGGGTGCTGAGTGCTGCCCACTGCATGGAGGACATGTGAGTCTGTGTTTGCCTTGGGCTGAGAGCAACTTTTCTCCCTCAGAAATATGAAAAGTGTGACTCATAATGTTCTGTTTTTCCTGCTGCTTGTTCTAATGGTGTTGCAAGCAGAAAGGAGCTTGCAACCGGCCAGGAAAGCAAGAGCCTTGGACTCACCTGCATGCCTTTCTCAGCCACTTCAACCTGTGGATGCAGTGAAAAACATTCTGAACATGCTTCCCAATGCAGTCGATACACTTTAGGGAAGAGAAAACGCAAAACGTCCTATGCAGTCTGGATTCTAGTGTATTCTAGTGACCGCTGAAGATTGCACCATGTGACATTTTAGCTGCTGAGGTGGCGGTGCTTAATGCCCCAGCTGTGATTCATCTGTTGCTTTTGAAATTGCTGGTTATAAAAACACATAGCACTTTTCATCAATTAGTCAGCAGTGAGTCTTGTTCTAATCTAATGGAAAAGTTTACAGAAAATGGACTGGAGGTGGAGGGACACTCAGAAGAGGTCTATGCATTGTGAAAGTACCCCATCCAAGAAAGGCAGGTGCTGGGCGACCAAACTGCAAGGTTAACCATGTTCTCCTTTCTAGGGATGGCGGGGAGTTTCAAGTCCTTGTGGGTGCCCATTCGCTCTCAGCCCCTGAACCAAACAAGCGCCTGGTAGGAGTGCGTCGGCTCATCCCCCACCCCGGCAGCAGCCGAGAGACCAACTTCGATGACCTCTTGCTTGTCCAGGTAGACAAGAGCGAAGAGAGCTGCAGAGCCAGAAACAGAAGGCTGAGTTGTGTCGTGTCTCTTGGATATGTTCTTCACTGGGATTCGAAGTAGGCAGAGTAGAAACTGCCCCAGTCCTTAGAAAGAGCACGGCAGCAAGAGATGGCTTGCCCATGCAAAAGTGTGCGACACAACACCACTGACGCTCTTTCAGATCTAAATGTTTTGTAGGCTCCATTTGCAAAGCAAGATCTGTTTATCAGTAATGGAGCCGTCTCCTATTAATATGCTGCAGGGCAGCCTCTCCCAGCCTGGAAACCTCCTGCTAGTTAAGACCACAATTCCCATTACTCCTGATAATGGACCATGCTGGCTGAGCTCAGTGGGACTTGGAGTCCAATACCTTGGTTTCCGTAATTGGGCTGCTTCCCATATTCAGAATTTCTCTCTGGATTTAGTGGCCCCAAATTTCCTTGCTGGGTTTCCCAAGCGGGATTAATGTGCTACAAAGCCCCTAAATAAAATGTGCGATATATTGCATTACAGTTTTCTCAGGATTGCACTCCCAGGTTCCTTCTGCCCTTTGCCCTGCATTCATGACCAATGCACAAGCTCGATGCAATATTTTACCAGTGTTCCAGCACACGTGTGCGCTTTGGTCAAACATCACCCTGCCAGGTATTTCGAGGGACCTGAGGAACTGAGATTCTGCTTTCGATTGCAGAATGGGGCGGGGCCAAAAGCTAGTGTTTTTTGCTCAAAGGCATGGAGTCCACAGTCGAAGGCTTTGCAAAGAGGCAGCTTGGCTTGGGGAGCAAGCAGCACAAAAGACCCCCCAAGAATCCGTGGGCGGAGAACAAAGCATGGCTTTCTGCAGACGGCCAGGTGGTGCCCCTGAGGTTCTGCCCCCCCATGATGAGGCATGGATCCTGGGTGCAGCCTGCCATGGCTCCTTGCTTCCCATTTCCACATGCTCTCCACCATTTCAGCTGGAGGAGCGGGTCCCTCTGGGCCCTCACGTGAGGCTCCTGGGCTACCAGACAGAAAACCGAGACGTGCCGGCGGGCACCCGGTGCGAGGTGGTCGGCTGGGGCATCACCAGCAACACTGGCAAGCGCCCAGACAAGCTGCATTCTGTGGAGCTGGGCATCATGGACCGGACACAATGCAACCATCGGATCTACCATGACGGCAGCATAACGGCGAACATGATGTGTGCCGAATCCAAGAAGAAAGACGCGTGCAAGGTGGGTGCGGGGAGGAGGGGAGCCAGTGATTTAGCGAACCCAAACGGAGCAAGCCAGGGCCACTGGCAACCAACCTGGCTCTTCCTGCACACACGACAATTGAATGCATGACACACTGATGTCCATTCAAAGGCCCCGCACTCATCCTGCCAACTAGGCCAGGGTGACCCCCAAAATCCCAGGAGCGAAGCGGTTCATGAGGCGGGGGGCTGAACTGGGCTCATTCTGATTTTGGCTTAGACCCTTCCAGGGGTTTGGGGATCCCCTTCCCACCCCATGAGAAGCCTGGTGCGCAGAATTCACCACCTCCTCCGACCGGCTGTCTGAGGTGCAAACCCTTTTCCAGCCCTTTCCCCCATTATTTTTTAAAAACATATTCTTTTAAGAGCAGTATTGTTTGAGAAAAATAATAAAGCAAATGGAGCAAAGGAACACGAAGAGATCTCCAACTACTCAGAACACAAAGTACAAAAAAAGTTAACTTTCACTGAAATTTCCACTAAATTGCAGTTCTTCAACAATGCCTCAAAACAAACATCAGTGCCCAAAACCTTCACCCAACATCCCTTCCCCTTCCACCTGCCATTAATTTTGCTGCCTGCTTATCCTGACGTAGCTAGTCTACCAATTTTGCTCATTCACTAACTTGTTTTTCCAGTCTTCTATAGTTGAATTTCCCTTTGCTTAGCATTTAAAGGCAATTTTACCTCTAGCTGCAATTATCCAGTGCTAAATAACTCCCTTCTTAACTCAACTTACTATAACAGCAAAGTTATACATGAGTTAAACGCTAAGAATATTTTCAAAAATTCTATTCCTTCTATGCAACAGCAAAACCATTAGGACAAAGATAAGTGTCTGAACATATTTGCAAAAATTCTATCCATTTATATGTAATTTTTTCTGATTATACACATTATAAAGTAGGCTGTACACAGTACAATGTCCACTTCATCATTAAATTATTTGCTTGGAATTCTAACCAAACCTTTTCCAGGAATGAAAGGTAAATTCAGAGATGTACTTGGAGGTTACATTCTGGCTGAAGGAAAAGAAGGGGTGACCAAGATCCCCAAAACACCAACCCAGCTAGGCTGAACTCTCAGTGCCATTGAGTTCTTCCTCCTGAAAAGATGTGTATCTCTAGAGTCAAGGCAAAAAGCCTTGACAATTAATGTCTGCAATTAATGTTGATCCTTCCAATTTGCTTCCTTCTCTCAGGGAGATTCGGGTGGACCACTTGTCTGCAATGGGGTTGCCGAGGGGGTTGTAGCCACTGGTTCCCGCATTTGTGGCAACTGGAAGAAACCTGGCATTTATACCCGGATCCCACCCTACGTTGCATGGATATCTGGCATCTTGCACCAGCCAATTAACCAACAATAAGAGGCGGCATGGTTTAAAAAAATGTAGTCTGGATATTTTTCATCACCAAGACCATGAGATGCTGGATGGACTTTTGGGAGTTAACACCCATTGAGAAAGGAGCCACATTAAGAGAGATTGTCATAGCTGCAGAAAAAATGGAGGCTTTTCCATTTTCTTTTCTGGGTATGTACCTTACTTCATAACTAGCTAATGGGTTGGTATGGTAGAAAGACAGGAATCAAATGAAACTAGAAAACATCCAAAATTGTATGGCGAGAAGGAGAATCATGATTTTAGGATGTATGTGTTGTTTGTTCTTCACTTTCCTGTTAAGATAGCTCAAATGAGTTTCAGACTTGTGCTGAAATTTTTCCAGGCTTTTTACAGGAACACTGTAAAAACTGGATCATGCAGCTCTTAACATTTATTAACTGTTTTTAAGCACTTATGAAACATATAATCTTTACTCTGCAACTGTGCCTAGGTAAACTTTAAAAAGTTATGTTAGCCAGCAAAAAACCCTCTAAAAATCTGTCTGCAAGAATAAATGCTCTGAATGATATGTAATCTATTGCTTGTGCTAATATGTAATCAGTTTGTGCACGTCTTTTAATCATCCCAACAATTGCTTAATTCCTCTATTTACACTAATGGATTTTCATTTCTGGACATGGCCACACCCTCCTGGGAATATCTAGAACACTCTGCATTTTAAAAGATGCCAGTTAGGACCTCTAGGGTGTGCAAGGGGCTTCCGTGGGAGGTGGCCGAAGCCCCGGTGGTGAAGATGCTTAAGGATAAGCTGGATGTGCACTCGGTGGATAGCCCAGGAGACCCCTTCTGACTCACTCTGTTTCTATGCTTCTACGTTTATACTTCTATGCCAGAAGTTAGTGGTAATTTAAGAGAGATCTAGTTTCCCATGCCTCTAATTCTGCTCTCTATGTCCTCCATGCACAGAGATTAACAGTAACTCCAATGGCGCTGGGAAGGGCGCCATCTTGGATCCAACTGATGGCGCACCAAAGATGTATCTGGGCCTTAATGTTCTGTTGTTCTGTTTTGGAAGAAGCATTTTGCTTGGAGAAGAGCAATCCCTCCCACTTGTAAAATTGTGTTGTCAGTCCAAGGAGTGAGGCTAGGCAGGAGAAACAGCAGTGATGTCTTGGGTCCCATTAAGGGAGCTTTCCCCATAATTTATTCCTTTTCTATTTAACTAAAAAACAGTCCAGGCTTACTGCAAAGAGGGATGGACTTGTATTTTACCCAGCCAGAGAAGTTATGCAGCTGTCTGATTTGAATCTGTGGTCCCCTGTCTGAATGGCATCGCCTCCAGAGGCACCCCAAGGAACCACCACTACCACAACCATGGTATGTCCAGAGGAGCAGGGGGCCTACTCTGATCCCTGGAGGGGCTGCCCCACTGCAGCTTCAGGTCTGAAAAAGACATCTCCCTGAATTTAAGATTACAAATTAACCCTGCACTGAGGCTTCTCCCACCCTAAAATTTACAGGGGTTGGTAATGATTAAACAGGTGGACAGAATGCACTCTGCATATGCTCCGGATTCAGTTGATTATCTGTCTCTGCTTGTTGGAGGAAAGATGACAAAAGGCAGCTTTGGATTTCATTTTTCAATTTGGATTTCATTTCCGCTTCAAAAGCCAACCACACTTACCCCTTTTGCAGGTTGCTGGAAAGGGCAAAAGACAAAGAGCTTTGAAAGAGGGCAATTTTGCTGTTCATGCTCTCGGAACCCCTTGGGTGGTAAAATAGAGAAGAAGAGAAGGCACAGTCTGTCTCCACCAGCTGCAATTATTTGCCTACTGCAATGGAGGTCATCAGACATTGTAGAATTAACCCAGCCTGGCTGCAAATTTTTTTTCCAAAGGGAAAACAGCACTTTTCTGGGGGGGGGGGGTGTTTGGTTTTTTTTAAAGAAAATTGGTGGATAAACACCCATAATAAGACATCATAGCCAGAAAATGGGAATTTTAAAAAAGTTTTGAAAGCACACACATTTGTGCTCTTGTCGCCTTAGAAATAAATAAATAAGCAAGCAAGCAAGCAAGCACCAACTGCTTCAAGAGGGAAATGGGCTACAACAAGAGCAAAGGCTAAATTTACCACTAAGTGTTCTTAGCGTTTTGAATCCGGAGCTGCTATGGAGTTGGAGGTGCAGCCACAGAAAAAAAGAGTTGGAGTTTGATTTTACTGTTGCCCGATGAGTCAATGCACAAATACCCCTGACTTCTGGCTGGGGGTACCACCACTACAGGACTCAAGGACCATTTAGCAGCAGAAGCAGGATAAATTCTTGCTTGGTCTTGAAGATACTGCCCTGCAGGTGCCACTTTGCAAAGCCCCTGGATCCGCCCTCCACACAAACACTTGCACCTCTGGCTCTGAAAACGGGCTAAGAGCAGCCCCACTTGATGCCAGAACATGTCAAATAATGCTCCAGACAGCATGCAGACATGTCAAATAATGCCCAGTGGTCCTGTTAAAAAAAAGTCAGTTTTGGGATGGATAGTAGAAGATTTTCCCACCACCCTTCCAGCTCTGTCTCATGGCTAGCTCTGGTCTCCTGACAGGCTGCGATGCCCAAATACGTCCCCTGAATTCGGAAATGTCTTGTGTGCAATTTAACTTTAGGTAACTACATTTAGAGACAGGAAGATTCTCCTTCCGGGATCATCGTCCTCCCAGTCTTTGCCCCCTTCTTTCCACCACTGTGAAAGGACCCTTCCTCCATTCCAGACCTCGGAGATCTTTTGGACCTGGTGTGGCATCCCCCAAATGGAACCTCCAAGTTCAGGAGCAATGTATCTGTGATGGCCAGAGGCATCTAATTAAAGGATGCTCAGCTAAATGAACGCTTTCAGAGCCAGAAGGCACGGGAGGGAGGCTTGCTTGCTGCCCAAAAGCACACAGAAAGGAATCCCTTCAATTCGCTTTCCATCTTCTCCATGGGTATTCATTTGTCCATCTGCCTCTTTCTCTGGCTCAAGGAATGATGGCAATGAAAAGCTGATTGCATTCATTAATTCCTGTGCCTCCCAAGAACCAAAGCTCCCTTTCTTAAGAAATGGTTATAATTTTTGGTCCTACATGAAACAGGGAAAAGCTAGAGCACAAGAACAGGAGAAATGCACACCAACAACAGCAGGGTTGACACTCTGAGTCTGCACTTGTTCGTGAGGGCTTGCATAGTTTCTTTGTCCAGTCACACATGTTCAGTTTAGCATACTTCACAAGGTTGTCGTGAAGACAAAATGGAGTGGGGAGTCACCGGATTCCTTGGAGGAAAAGCAAGATAAAAATGGAGCATGTCTGAACAAGTGCAGTGAAAAGTTCTTTCTGCTTGTCTGGCGATCTGGCGAAGAAACTTGGTTTAGTGGAACGGCTGGGTTGGGATTTAATTAAAAGAAAGAAGTACTCCACTTTAAAGAGAACTGAGTCTTAAAGAGAATTCCAGGAAAAATGGAGGATTAATCTTGCCTGATCCCACTTGAGGCACAAGGCTTTCACGGGGGGGTGGCGGGGGGCAAACCACTCCAAAAAATACTCCAAGCATTTTTCAGAAAAATACACAAATTACTCTCCTTTTAGCATATTTTCTTAGCATCAAAACAACACAGAAGAGCCAACATGTTTAAGGTTGCTATTGGGAATTCCACGAAACAAGGAGCGTGTCTTAGCCATGAAGTGCCAATTTAGCCCACGTGGCCTTTGCATGCAAACCAGCGGAATAAAAGTGCAAATCGAAGGGAGAGCAGCAGCAGCAGCAGCAGCAGCAGCAAAATTAACTGGGCGCATTTGGATGATTAAAATGTACAGCGGAATGTAGAAATGGCCTCGGGAAAGCTAATCAGCGCTAACTAAGACAATCCGAGAAAAGAGGGCTCGCTCTAGTTTTGAAGTGGATCACAAGAAGAGCATCGGATCAACAAATCTGACCTGTTTTGGTACCTCCGGGGCAATACCCCCGCTTCTCCGCAGCAGCGATGCAAACTAGCGCGGTTTAGCTTCTCCACGGCAGGGGGCAGATGAAAAAGGGGAAGCCAGACTGGCGGCCCCGGGGCAGCAAGAGAGCCCCGTGCCCCTAATACCGTACTGTGGCGTAATGCAAGCAAGCGACCCCTTTGCACGCCCACTAACCCGACACGGAGCCACGGGAGTGCCAGGACACGGGCCACGCACCGGAGCGGGGCAGCGGGGCTCCCGCCGAGCCTCCTCTCCGCTCCCGGCCACGCGGCTGGAAAGCGCGGCTGGGGCGCGGGCGTCCCCGGGCGGCTGCCCACCTGCGCACCTGCACACCTGCGCCCGGCGATCCCCCTGCCCGGGCGCGTCCCGTCCGCTCGGGGCAGCTGGCGGCCGGCAGGCTGCCCCCCGCCCGCTCGCCCTCCGCGGGCTCCGTGGGGCCGGGCCTGCGCGGGGGTCCCGGGCGCGTCGAGCACGACCCGCGGCGGCTTCTCCCTGCGGCTGCTGCGCCTTCGCCCCCGCGGAGCATTTCCCGAACGGGGCCGGCCGGGCACCTTTCCCCAAGGCTGGTTTGCCACCCATGGATCGTTTCAGTTCTGAATTTTTAGACTTGAATTTTAGCTTTGCTTCTACATAGTTTTGTCTTCATCTCTCATTCGTATTTCTTTCTATGTAGCTCTCTTTCTAGATTTCCATTTCTATTCATTTGTATTTAGTTTGAGTTTTGAATTTTAATTTTTAAATTTGAATTTTAGCTTTACTTCTACATAGTTTTATCTTCATCTTTCTTTCTCATTTATATTTCGTTGTATATGTATGTAACTTTCTAGATTTCCATTTCTATTCATTTGTAGAGTTTTCAATTTTAATTTTTAAATTTGATCTTTAGTTCTACAGTTTTATCTTCATCTTTCTCATATTTCTATGTCTATGTATCTTCCTATTTCTTTATCTTTCTAGATTTCCATTTCTATTAATTTGTATTTAGAGTTTCGAATTTTAATTTTTAAATTTGAATTTTAGCTTTAGTTCTACATAGTTTTATCTTCATTTCTCATTTATATTTCTTTCTATATGTCTATGTAGCTCTTTCTAGATTTCCATTTCTATTCATTTGTATTTCTTTCTGGATTTCTCTTGCTATCTCTTTCTGGATTTCTATTTCTATTATTTTCTATTTCTTCTTTCTATTTCGGTATTTGTATTACTTTTCTGTATTTCTATGTATTTTTACTTATTTGGATCTGCCCATTTCAGCTGTACAATCTCAAATGGCAGGCAAAAACTGTTCCTTCTTTCTAATCTGGCTCAGCTTAGAATACCAGCACCCTTCCCCCTTTAGCCAGGTTGTGCTGAGGCTGAGGGAACCGTAGGCCAAACTTTCTAGACGGGCAACAGCTATTGCCGGTTGTATGAGCAGCATCCTCACATATTGAAAAGGAGCATCCCAAAGGGACCTTGGGCAGTTTTCTCCCCATGATCGTTTTTTCAGCCTGCAAGGAAGGCCTTTCCTCATTGATGGAACGTTCAGACATGGTGTCTTTCCTGCCCTGGCGATCCCAAGCCATACACAGCAAGTGGTAGTCATAGCAAGGTCAGAACAGCCCTCTTTCTTCAAAACAAACAGCAGGGTTGCAGTGTTGCAAGATTTTTCTTTGAACAGGACAGGATCTTGCCCTAAACATGCTCCAGGCTATGTCAGGATCTGCAGGCCAGCAGTTCTGCAGCTCCCTGAGGGGGCCTGATGGAGAAGGGTGCCTGTCCCATCACGAGAAGTACTTGCGGCATCCGCTCCAGATCTGCGAGCGCTTGCAGGATTCCCAGCAGTTCACACAGGCCGGCCAGCTGGAAGTCTCTCAAGCTCAGCTCTGCACCAGAACTGAATTTTTGTGGTGCCGTTTCCAGCATTTGTAATTGTGGACTGGCTCTCCTCTGCTCCGGAGACCATTTCTGCCTCTGGTCCTGCCCTGTCTTGTCCGAGACCCAACCTGGCCTATCTAAAGACTGGTTCAGGGATCTTGTCTTTTCTTTGCCCTTTTCTTTGCCCTTTTTTTTTCCTTGAGACCAAAAAGATTTTGATGGGATTTCGACCAAAGGAAACACATTCCCAAACAAAACTGCAATGTTTATACAAACTCAGCATCTTTTATTTATATAGTCCGGACCCCAGTGCACATCCGACCCGTTTCTTTCTGTTGTTCACAGCTGGTGGCTGTGAAAATTGGCATTGGCAGTTGTGCGATGAGCCCTAAAAGCTGAGTTTGCAGCAGGTATTGTGTGGAGTGTCGTATTTGTGAGGTTCTCCAAAGATTGCATCCTCAAGGAACGAGCTGTTGTTACTACATTCTTTGATCGCAGCATACTTTTCAAAGGGGATTCTCTGCAGTAGGGTTCCAATCCTGATTTACTGACTACATCGAGTTGGTTCATGGATCCTTCATGGATCACTGCCTTGCCATGGCGAAGGGGCTTGTGTAGCTCGATGAAGCTATGAGTTATGCCGTGCAGGGTCACCCAAGACGGACAGGTCATAGCAGAGAGCTCTGACAAAACGTGTTCCACCGGAGAAGGAAATGGCAGCCCACTCCAGTACCCTTGCCATGAAAACCCCACGGACTGTACCAACAGGCAAAGAGATATGATGCCGGAAGATGAGTCCCTCAGTCGGAAGGTGTCCAATACGCTACTGGGGAAGAGCGGAGGGCTAGTAGCACCAGAAAGAGTGAAGCGACTGGATCAAAGCCGAAAGGACACTCAGTTGCGGATGTATCTGGTGGTGAAAGGAGAGCCCAATGCTGCAAAGATCTATACTCCATAGGAACCTGGAATGTAAGATCCATGAATCAAGGCAAGCTGGACATGGTCAAACAAGAGATGACAAGACTGAACATCTACATCTTAGGAATCAGCGAACTAATATGGACAGGAATGGGTGGATTTAATTCAGGTGACCATCAGGTATACTACTGCGGGCGAGAATCCCTCAGAAGAAATGGAGTAGCCTTCATAGTCAATAAAAGAGTAGGAAAAGCAGTCCTGGGATACAATCTCCAAAATGACAGAATGATCTCAGTTCGAATCCAAGGCTGGTTTGCTGGTTCAACATCACGGTAGTCCAAGTTGATGCCCCAACCACTGGTGCTGAAGAGGCTGAAGCTGACCAGTTCTATGAAGGCCTACAACACCTTCTAGAATTAACACCGAAAAATGATGTCCTTATCATCATGAGTGGAATGCTAAGGAAGCCAAAAGATAACTGGAATAACAGGAAAGTTTGGCCTTGGAGTACAAAACGAAGCAGGGCACAGCCTGGCAGAATTTTGTCAAGAGAATACGATGGTCATAGCAAACACTCTCTTCCAACAACCCAGGAGACGTCTCTACACATGAACATCACCAGACGGTCAACACAGAAATCAGATTGACTATGTGCTCTGCAGCCAAAGATGGAGAAGCTCTATACAGTCAGTAAAAACTAGACCAGGAGCTGACTGTGGCTCAGATCATGAGCTTCTTCTTGCAAAATTCAGGCTTGAATTGAAGAAAGTAGGGAAAAACACTAGGCCACTCAGGTATGACTTATATCATATCCCTGATGAATATACAGGAGAGGTGACAAATAGATTTAAGGAATTAGATCTGATACACAGAGTTCCTGAAGAACTATGGACGGAGGTTCACAACATTGTACAAGAGATAGCAACCAAAACCATCCCAAAGAAAAAGAAATGCAAGAAAGCAAAATGGCTGTCTGAGGAAGCTTTAGAAATAGCTAAGGAAAGAAGGGAAGCGAAAGGCAAGGGAGAAAGATACAAACAATTGAATGCAGAATTCCAGAGAATAGCTAGAAGAGGTAAGAATGCCTTCTTAAATGAACAGTGCAAAGAAATAGAAGAAAACAATAGAATAGGGAGGACCAGAGATCTCTTCAAGAAAATTGGAGATATGAAGGGAACGTTTCATGCAAAGACGGGAATGATAAAGGACGAAAATGGCAGGGACCTAACAGAGGCAGAAGAGATTAAGAAGAGGAGGCAAGATTACACAGAACTATACAAGAAACAGCTTAACATACCTGATAGCCACGATGGGGTGGTCACTGACCTCGAGCCAGACATCCTGGAATGTGAAGTCAAATGGGCCTTAGGAAGTCTGAGCAACAACAAAGCTAGTGGAGGCGACAGTATTCCACCTGAGCTATTCAAAATCCTAAAAAATTATGCAGTAAAAGTGCTACACTCGATATGCCAGCACATTTGGCAAACTCCACAGTGGCCACAGGATTGGAAAAGGTCAGTTTACATTCCGATCCCAAAGAAGGGCAATGCCAAAGAATGTTCGAACTACCGCACCATTGCACTCATTTCACATGCTAGCACAGTTATGCTCAAAATCCTACAAGCTGGGCTCCAGCAGTATGTGGACCGAGAACTACCAGAAGTACAGGCAGGATTTGGAAGAGGGAGAGGAACTGGAGATCAAATTGCCAACATACGCTGGATCATGGAGAAAGTTAGGGAGTTCCAGAAAAACATCTGCTTCTGCTTCATTGACTATGCTAAAGCCTTTGATTGTGTGGATCACAACCAATTGTGACAAGTTCTTAAAGAGATGGGAGTACCAGACCATCTTATTTGTCTCTTGAGAAACCTATATGCAGGTCAAGAAGCAACAGTGAGAACTGAACACGGAACCACTGATTGGTTTTATTTATTTATTTAAAACATTTCAATGCCACCCCATTCGCAAAGAGCCTCGGGCAGCTTACAAAACAAACAAGAATACACACAATTAACCTTAAGAAACCTTAAAAATCCAGAGACCTCTCGGCACAAAATTGAGAAAGGAGTTCGGCAAGGCTGTATACTGTTGCCCTGCCTATTTAACTTATATGCAGAGCACATCATGAGAAAGGCGGGGCTAGATGAATCACCAGTTGGAATTAAGATTGCTGGGAGAAATATCAACAACCTCAGATATGCAGATGATACCAATCTCAAGACAGAAAGTGAAGAGGAACTAAAGAGCCTCTTGATGTGGGTGAAGGAGGAGAGCGCAAAAGTTGGCTTGAAACTCAGTATTAAGAAGACTAAGATCATGGCAACCGGTCCTTTCACTTCCTGGCAAATAGACGGGGAAGAAATGGAGGTAGTGACAGATTTTATTTTCCTGGGCTCCAAGATCACCGCTGATGGGGACTGTAGCCAAGAAATTAAAAGGCGCTTGCCCCTGGGGAGGAAAGCAATGGCAAATCTAGATAGCATACTAAAAAGCACAGACATCACCCTGCCAACAAAAGTGCGTATAGTCAAGGCTACGGTCTTCCCAGTTGCAAGGTGTGGCTGTGAAAACTGGACCATAAGGAAGGCTGAGCGCCGAAGGATTGAGGCCTTTGAATTGTGGTGCAGGAGGAGACTCCTGCGAGTCCCTTGGACTGCAAGGTGATCAAACCAGTCAGTCCTGGAGGAGATCAACCCTGACTGCTCTTTAGAAGGCCAGGTACTGAAGATGAAACTCCAATACTTTGGCCACCTAATGAGAAGGAAGGACTCCCTGGAGAAGAGCCTGATGCTGGGAACAATAGATGGCAAAAGAAGGAGGGGACGGCAGAGGATGAGGTGGCTGGATGGGGCCACTGGGGCAGTCGGTGTGAGCTTGGGTGGACTCCGGGGGATGGTGGAGGACAGGAAGGCCTGGAGGAATGTTATCCATGGGGTCACAATGGGTCGGACACGACTTTGCGACTAACAACAACAAGAGTTGGTAGATACCTGGTATATCCAGGGGTAGAATTTAAGACTGGAACATTTTGGCCTACACACAGAAATTCCCCGAACACTGAAAAGTAAATAGTTTAGTCTGTAATCTTATACATAACCCTTTCACACAACTCGGTATCTCTTACTCCTTGTGTCGAAATGCACAGGATTGCACTACCAGCCCTTTCCTGATGTGTTTTAAGGGCTGTTGCAAACATCCAGAAAAGAAATTAGAGTGCAGATAGTTTTGAATACTGGAGTTAGTGTGCATGATGGTTTTGACTGATACAACTTCTCTGCGTGTGCAAAACAGACACACACAAAAACATCTAGTTTTCTACATGCATGGACTTTCTGCAGCCTGAAGCAATGCAAGCTAAAAAATACAAAAGCACTTCATTCTAACTTCACCATAATCCACGAAGTCCCAGTGTTGAAACAAAAGATGTGGGACGAGGTGCAAAGTAGGACCATGGATGCAACGAAGGGAATACTTTTCCTGGAACTGTATTAAAGCACAGATATTCTGGTGCTGGTTAACCTGCAGTATTTTAGGGCTGCAGGAAATGCTTTTACCAAAGCATCAAGGCCTCCCCTGCTGTGTCCAAGCTTTCCCTCTCGTGGTTCAGCTCCAGGAAGGTTCCCCCATGAAAACGGCCATGAAAACTGCCCAGAATCCTCCACACCATCACCTTCCTTAGTGACTTCTCACTGAAACCCCTTTGTTTCCCTAGATGGCTTAGGATCTAGGGCACCGAGTGCCCAGGCAGGCTTTGACCCGAGAGGGACAGAGGGAGCAGCCGTCTTGTGCAAAGACCGCAAGGGCCTCCCTCGCTTCCCACCACCAGGCTTCCTCCCCGTTTGGCGCAGGAGCGCGCGGTCAGAGGGCGTAGCCCAGAGGCATTTTTCTCCAGAGGCCGCCACAGAGGCAGTTCTTGATCCAGCGCTGTTCCCACTGCTTCACCGCCGTGGCCTTGTTTGGCGAGCGGAGCATCGTGACGCAGCCGCACCTGCGAGAGAACCACGGCACAGTTGCCTGAGCGGGAAGCCCGGGGCGCCCGCCCAGAGCGCCCCCCCCCCACGTGGGCTGCGGCACTCACCTGGTGCAAGACTTGCACTCTTCCGTGGGATACGCCCCGAGATGGATCCGTCGCAGGTGGTCGATCTTCGGCTGCCCGGGAGCCCTGAGCGGAGACAAAAGAGCATTGGGCATGCGCCCAGTGTAAGAACCTGCCCCGAGCGGATTCCAGTCAAGTACGGGGAAGCCGCGGGGCCAGTGTTTCCTGCGGCACGATTAAGAAAAAACTGCAGTTCCAAACCTGGCCAAGGTGTCGAACTGGAGTGAAGCGGAGTGTGGGACAAGTCCCAGGGCCTTCCCAAACTGTAGCCGGACAGCCTGCTTGTTCTGCAGCTTGCTGATAATGGCGTCGTTGACAGAGAGCCAGTCGAGGTTCGGGATGAGCAGCTGGCTAGGCAGGAGGCAGCACTCGTCGATCAAGGTGTCGTCGGGTTCGTTCAGGTGCCCCTCGTCGCGGCCTGCAACAAGGAGGGGTTGGGGAGCTGCCTGTCTGTATCTGCTCAAAAGAAGTGTTGCTACTTCCCAGTCTGAACTGCCGAAGGATTTACTTGGACCTCTGCTAAGCCAGCTTTGCCCAGCTTGGTGACTTCAGAGGTACTGGACTGGAGCACCACTGGACCTATTGGCTGGGGGTGATGGAAATTGCAGTCCAGCACATCCCGGGGGCATCTGGTTAAAGAAGGCTGCTCTAGGCCTTAAGCAAAATTCTTTTTCAAGAGGAGAAAAGTGCCCCAGGGTGTGGTCAAGATCCCTACTGGCTGTGACCAAGTAGTTATCATGCCCTCTGTAGTAGTTATCATGCCCTCATACCCCAACCCCAAGGACACGGAGGGAAACGTCCCCATTTTGTTTAGTGCTGTGAGCTAATGGGGTTTTGACTCACAAGAAATGAAGTGGCAGAATAATAGGCGAAGGTACTCCTTCCCTCCCTTTTTATATTACATGTAGATCATTATGTTATTATGCATTCAATTACTCCTAATTTGCCTCTTGCTCGGGTTTTATAATAAGGAAACAGATGACTTTTAAAAATGCAATTAAAGCAATCAGTGTTTCATCTGCAGGGCCTCTCCATCCATTCCTTATAGCCGAGTACAAAATCTAGGTCCCTTTGTTCAGATGACTCTGTGCTACTTTTGATGTTTTTCATGTTTCAGGCAACTTGCCCGAAAACTTCTACCCAAAACCATGAGCAAAAAGCACTCCAAAACTGGGATCTTCCCAGCCTCCACACACCCCTACACACAGTCAGCAGGGCCACAAAACACTCACAGCACAACCAGAGTTTGGTGAGGAGACGGAAAAGCAGAGACATGCTGTCCTGGGTATCTGATGTAGCTGTATAAACAGGCAGGCAGCTCGGCTTCAAGAGACCCCATATCCGGATCACGACCATCAGCTCGCGGAGTATGCCCAGCGAGGCCCCATCACGCAGAAAGCTGTGCCCCGGGCGAACTGGGCCAGAGCCCTAGAGAGGGGGAAAAACAGGAGGATTGGGCATGAAAGAAACACGGCTCGCTTTAAAAGTCGTGCTATCTGTCAGTGTATGACTCATTGAAATAAATAATAAATTGAAGACCCTGGTGGGGAGAGAGCCGAACGCTGCCTCACCTGGTTTGGAAGGCTGGCAAGCAAATACAGCACAAAGTCACCAACCCACTGGATCAGCTGCTGGAGGGACTGCAGGGTGGTTGTCTCCAGGACGAACTCTTCTGTCTTCAGGTTGATCATTACTTTATCGATATCTGCAAGGGTAAAACTCTCCTTAGCAGCTCGCACAGGCTGGGATGGGCAGAGCATTTTCTGGAGACAAAATACTTCAGCTGGTGGCTTCCTCTCCGGATCGGGGCATGCCCGGTGTGTGGTTGTAGGAATATGGCACGTGGATAGCTCTAAATTTAACTAAACTAAAATTTAAAAAGCCTTTTCCTGCATTTTGGTCTTGCTTTACAGTGTGGCATCACTCAAGCCATCCTGGAGAACATTCTAGAACAAAAAACAAATCTTGTTTCACCCACAGAACTTCATTCATTCAGCATTCAGCTCAGTTCAAAGGTTTATCTCATCTCATTTTTAAGCCTTCTGCTATTCAGTTTAATGTTGGCTTTGATGTGGGAGGTCCAGAAACTTTGTTCCGGGATTGGAGTATATGCTTTTACAGCCTGGATGCGATTGTCTAAGCACATGCATCAGCTTCCTTCTCTGGAACCTATTCATCTATGCACATCAGCAATGCCGCTTGAACCAATCTTATACAAACCCACAAAATCGGGATTTTTTTTTCAGTGTGGGTATCCATGCACACAGGTGCTTCTAACACTGAGAAAGGCTGCACCTTGTCTGTGTGTGACCGATGCAAAATAAAATTGGACATTTTTAAAGAGTGGAACAAGACGATTCGCAAGACATTGGTTTCGTTGATTGCGAGCCGTCTTCTAATGTCCTGAGTTTAATTTCCAAATTTGAACCAAGCACTGCACATGCCAAAGGTTTTCTCCATTTCTTGTTTTGCATGGCCTGTACCTTGCTAATGCACAGGGGTGCCCTGATAAAAGCACGTTTTGAAAAAGCAAACAATTTGACAAGACTATATATATGATTGTGAGATTATTTTGGTGCTGTGTTTGCTGTGGAAGATTCTTAACAATGTAAATTTAAAATTTCATAGCAGAGCAGCATGGAACTCCTGATATATGGGTTCCAATTCAGAGAGAGAAACAAGCAATTAGTGGTCTAAAATTCAGAGATACCTTTCAGGGGAAGCATTTAAAGAGAGCTAGTGGAAGGTTGAGTGCCGAAGGATTGGGGCCCCTGAATTGTGGTGCTGGAGGAGACTCCTGAGAGTCCCTTGGATTGCAAGGAGATCAAACCGGTCAGTCCTAGAGGAGATCAACCCTGACTGCTCTTGAGAAGGCCACATCCTGAAGATGAAGCTCAAACACTTTGGCCACCCAATGAGAAGGAAGGACTCCCTGGAGAAGAGCCTGGTGCTGGGAAGGATTGATGGCAAAAGGGGAAGGGGACGGGAGAGGATGAGGGGGGTGGATGGAGTCACTGGGGCAGTGGGTGTGAGCTTGGGTGGACTCCAGGGGATGGTGGGGGACAGGAGGGCCTGGAGGAAGGGCATGACCTAGCAACTAGCAACAACAGCAAGTGGAGTCTAGAGATTAAGAGTGCTAGGCTGGGTTGACGTCTCCATGCAGACATGAAGTTCTTGGGCCAGCTGTGGACTCTCAGACTAATCTACCTCACGGGGAGAGGAGGAGAATATAAGCTAATTTGGCTTCATCATGAGAGGAAAGAAGTCAGGATAGGGTAGTAGGGATATTTCATGTAGTATAACAATCCTGGTTCCATCATTCCAAAGTCCTTCAGAAACTGCACTTTGAACTTTGGGACCAGCCGTGCCACTGCACTAGTCCTCAGTATGGAAAAGCAGAGGAAGCCGTTGAGCCTTAGAGGACATGCAGAGAATCAGCAGCTGCCGGACATACCCACATCGGTGATCTTGGAGCAGATCTCCGTGAGACGGTCCCCAGGACTCTTGTCCGGCGTGTTCAGGACAGGAGGTCGGAGCAGCGATTTCAGGGTGCAGCTGATGGCGATCAAGAAGAGCTTGGCGTGGTAATCGCACACTCGGGCCACGGTGTTGGATGACAGCTTACACAGCGACGCTTTCATGGCGATGATGCGTGTGGAGAGAACCTGGAAAGTGCAGATCACAACGTTCACTGGCACACAGGTTTCGTCTTCTGGAAGGTCCGGCGTGTGTGTTTCATAAACGCCTGAAGCTCTGCTCGGCTTCGCGTCTCAGACTACAGGTGCTACCTGCATGGGGCTGCTCCACCACACCTGGCCACTGCCCCTCCGTAACTGCAGCTTTCCAGGCTGGTCAGGTTCTGGATCGGCAGCCTCCTCCTCCTCCTCGACCTGTCCAGCCCGCAACCTGGCAGCACCGGCTCCGCCTGTCCTCCAGCCACTGGCCAAGATGGATCCTGGGCCACTCAAGCAGCCTCTAGCCCTCTGTGGAAAGCTGGGACAGACACTCTGGCTTCTCTTCCTCCTCCTCCTTCGGAGGAAGAAAAGGCTGTGACGGCACTCAGGAAAATTCTCCCAGCCTCCCACCGTCTTCACCATGCTACGGAGGTCTTCCCCACCACCCATCATCTCTCTTGCCGATGGGAATGGAAGCCCGACACCTCTGGAGAATGCCGCAGGTCGCGCGTTTGCGCCCGTTACCTGCTGGAGAGCGGCGTTCTGGCGCATGTACTCCTCGTGCAGCTTCTCCACCAGGTTCTGCACCATGCCCGGCTGCACGTGCAGCAGGATGTCCCACCAGTCGTAGCCGGTCACCATGCAGTACTCCAGGAGGAAGAGCAGGTGCCGGAGGGAAATGTTCATGTCCAGGATGTGGCCCATGGAAGGAGAGACCCGAAGCATGCTGAGCTGCAGTGTGGAAAGAGGGCCAGTGAGCTGGGTTATTTACGAGAAGCAGTTCGGTCTGCCCTTCAGCACCCAATGGCTCCTAGAACTGTTTACAAAACCCATCTGGCTGGAGCTGAGGGTCAGACTAGATGGCCCCAGGGGACCCTTCCAACTCTGTTTCTGTTTCATTAAGCCTGCCCCAGCTTGCCTACACATCCGCAGTGGTCCAGTTAGGGGCAAGATGGATGAGCTAGAAAGATCATCGTGTGGTTAATAGCCCTGATTGGTTTATTTACACCTGGCAATTTCTGGTGGTTCTGCGGGGTCTCTCTTCATGGTTGCCCTTTGTTTTAAAAGCTGTTGTAACATTTGCCGATTTCCCTTTTCCCACTGCATTTTTACAGTCTGCTTTTAGGGACAAAATGGTCCAAAGACCTTTGCCTCTGAGGCAGTACAGAAATGAAATGAATAGTTACAACAATAGAGCTACCCACAGTAGTATGGCTTTCTTTGTGCTGCATCCCCAGGTCAGATTAGCCAATGAGAGGGGTTTTACTTATTTATTTATTTAACTTAATTCCATTTCTATGCAACCCCATAACCCAAAGGTTCTTTCTCAGTTGTGTAGCTTGGCTCACTGCTTTGAGCTATCTGAAACTATGCATCAAACCTCTCCATAGCCTTGAACTACCAGGGCAGCTAAAATGGGGAGGAGGAGGAGAAGGGATGAGGGGAGCAGAGTGGGGGAGCGCGAGCACACCATCTCTCCTCTTCCTTATGTGGCTGCAGCTTGGGGCATGTCAACTAACTGTAAGTGAAAAAAGAACCATTTCTTTAAAAAAACAGACCTAAAACATTCCTGCTACAAAATGACCACTGGCTTAGATGGTTTTAGAAGACCGATTTGCCAAGGAGCATCAGCAGGGAGAGACCTAATTTTTCTAGCCTTCTTGAAGCTACCTGACTATCCCCTGCTGGAAACAGGATACTGGGGGCAAGGATGCTTTCGCCTGGTCCAACAGGGTGGCGGTTCTGTTCCTAACATGGGGCAGACAGAAGCTGACGATTCTTTTCCCATTCTGTCTGGACTTTGCCCGCCTGCCAGGTGCAACCTACCTTTCCATGGGTGTCAACGCCAACCAAGGCCAGCGAAGTCCAGGACATCTGCATGGCTTTGAAGTGCACCAGGGGGCCGGCTGTCCGCTGCCGCTTGAAGGCTTGCTCGTCCACTGGGCGCTGGGAGGCCGCGCCATAAAACACTGCCATGGTTTGCAGGGAGAGGCGATGCACAATGTGGACACTGCCGTCGTGGAAGGCAAGGGCGAGGCCTGGAACGGGAGACGGCCCGGACGGGCAATTTCAGTGCAGAAGCGTCATCTTTAAAAATGCATCCACCCCTAAAAAGGGGGCTGCAAGTTAAGTCACGGGACAGGGAGAGGCCTTGAAACTGGGGGGGGGGGGTCTTAGATAAGCCCATCTGCACCATGAGCAAGAAGTGTGAACCTCCCTGTTCAGGTGCAATCTACCTCAAAGTACCAAACGCTGAGGGCGAACAGCAGAAAGAGTGGTTGGCCCACATTTTGAGCTGCTCTCTGGCACTGGAGCTGTTGACACAAAACAGATCGGGGTGGCCAAACAGATTCCCCTCTGGGTCTCTGCCAGGTGAAGGATTTCCTGCTCAGGTTGTTTCTTTTTTCATGCCTGCCCGGGACCATCTAAGCTTCGGGAATGCTGCACCCACATTCCTTCTCTCCAGAGACAGCTGTCCCCATGGGGAATTCGCGTCCGAGTTGGGAAGGAGGGAAGGAAGAGAGGAGAGGTGCTTGGTTCGGAGTCAAACCACAGGTCTGCCTGGTGTTCTGGCTGACTCAACTCTTGCAGAACCCATGCCTGGAAATTGCTGGTGCCGGAGATACGACTTCAGGATAGGAATCCAAAATAGCCCTTTTCCAGCCCCTAAACCAAGCCCTTATTGTGTACGCCCAGCTTTCTCCCACCAAAGGGGACACCCAGCTAAATAAATAAATAAAAGAACGAAACATCACTACATAAAAGAACAACACCACAAGGCACCTGGTGCCCAGCTACCTTACCTAGTCCCGGAAAGAACTTGGTGTCGTTCGCCACTTTCAGGTCCGTGCTGGTCAAAGAAATAGGTAATTTGGGCAGCGCCACGGCTGAAACCCGGTCCAAGTCGTTGGTGGCTGAAAGGATGCGCCACTTCAAGATCATGGGTGCCTTGTCACCAACTGGCAAAGGAGAGACCGCAAGAGCGCTCAGAAGGGAGAAACGGAAGCACTGGGGTCCGTGGCCAGATTGCTTGTGGGGCAGGGAAGGGGAGACAGTAAAAATGGAACTACTTGGTCTGTGTTTTTGCAGTGCATTTTTCCATCTGCCGTCTCTCATATTGCTGAAAATAGAAACCCTCCTTCCATGTTGTCCCTTTATACCATGATCCATTCAAACTATTGGCAATTTTCTAGTTTCTAGGGAACACTGAAGCCAGAAGAAGAACAAATATGGGATGGATCAACTTCCTAAAGAAAGATGCAACTGCTAAGTAGACCTTTTGCTAAGCATGACATTTCGAAGGACGCTTGTTCATAGGGTTGCAGATAAGTTGGAGACGAATGGACAGTACATAGCAACAGAAGCATGTTCCACTCCTAAAGCAATGAGAGCTTCGAGCTTATGTGTATATAGATATATATTTCTCCCCTTTCACCTCCCCAGATCCTTTTGCCTTGTATCCCCAGCTCCGTAATGCATCTTCAAAGACATAACCTAAAATGGAATCTCACTGAAAGACTGAACATTTCATAGAAGGGTTAGTGAAAAGACGGTGCAACCTGAAATGGGTATTTGTTAAAAGCCATCTGTCTTGTAAGAAGAGAGAGAACAATTAAGGCTGTGGACAGACAAAAAAGAGGCAGACCTGATGAAGCGCCTTGTACCTGGATTGAAAGATACTCGCTGTACAGCTAAAATGCTCTCCTATTGTGCTTTTGCTTCTGGATTAAGAAATTGCTGCTAGGTATCTGCTAACAGAGACGTAACAGAGGAGAAATCAAGGAAAGGCTTGATTCGGGGAAACTTGAGTGTCAAGGGGATGGGATTGCCCCACAGGTCTGCCCTTAACTACAAGAAAACTCTGGCTTACTACACTCTCCCTAGGTTGACCCCCAAAAGTTAATTCCAGAAGGAAGGTATATAAGGCTGCCAATCTTCGTGGCTCTGTGCTATGTTATGCTATGCTAGTCACAAAGTCGCATCCGACCCATCGCGACCCCATGGACAACATTCCTCCAGGCTCCATCCCCCAGGGTCCACCCAAGCCCACACCCACCGCCCCAGTGACCCCATCCAGCCCCCTCATCCTCTGCCGTTCCCTTCTTTTTGGCCTTCAGTCCTTCCCAGCATCAGGGTCTTCTCCAGGGAGTCCTTCCTTCTCATTAGATGGCCAAAGTCTTGGAGTTTCATCTTCAGGATCTGGCCTTCTAAAGAGCAGTCAGGGTTGATCTCCTCTAGGAATGACCGGTTTGATCACCTTGTGGTCCAAGGGACTCGCAGGAGTCTCCTCCAGAATCACAATTCAGAGGCTTCAATTCTTGGGCGCTCAGCCTTCCTTATGGTCCAGCTTTCCATTCCTCCAGGCCTTCCTGTCCTCCACCATCCCCCGGAGTCCACCCAAGCTCACACGCACCGCCCCTGTGACTCCATCCGGCCACCTCATCCTCTGCCACCCCTTCTTCTTTTGCCCTCAATTGCTCCCAGCGTCAGGCTCTTCTCCAGGGAGTCCTTCCTTCTCATTAGGTGGCCAAAGGATTTGAGTTTCATCTTCAGGATCTGGCCTTCTAAAGAGCAGTCAGGGTTGATCTCCTCTAGGACTGACCAGTTGGATCGCCTTGCGGTCCGAGGGACTCGCAGGAGTCTTCTCCAACAGGCTGTGTGCTATCAGAGATTAAAAACCAGAAAAGCTTAAATACAGCACTTAAAAGAAACCCTGAGGGGCATGTAATTAGTTTACTGGGATTTTGCCTGCAGCTGAAACAGGTCTTAGGGTTTGTTTTAGCTACTAAAACTTTTTAAGGTGCTTTTTAAATGTGGCTTTCCATTTCAGTGATTTATTTGTTAAGAGTCATATCCTGATGATTAATGCTGTTTGCACTTTATGTGTTGTTGTGAATTGTGAACCAAAAGCCAGATCGTTTTGCCTGTTGGGTGGTACAGAAATTAAATAATGCTTGGCATACAAGCATATGAACAGATAGCAAATGTGTATTTGAACACTCAATCCCTAGCTTATCCTATGCTGCTGAGAGTAGAGGAAGCTTTTCACCAGGCACTGAAAAGATAACAATGTGGGCACCAGGCAGGCCTCTCCGGGGACTTCATTCCCAAAGCAGGGTGCCACCGCAGAGAAGGCCCTTCCCTTCATTGCCCTCCTCAAGCTATTCCAGGGCCCACTGCAATGCAACTCTGGCTTTGCACCTGTCTCTTTGCTTCAGGCTACCCTCATGCTGACCTGATTAAGAAGTGTGGTCAGTCAGTACAAAGCCTGTGGATTTGGTGGGCTTCGAAGGAATGCAAATTATTGGTGCTGTGTGGAGCTTCCAAGTTTAGAGGCAGTCTTCCCCAAATGCTAGAGGCTCTTGGCATCCAAGCTCCATCCTCCCTGGCGATCTTTTTTGGTAAGCTAGCATTAGTACTGGAAATGCAGAACAGGAAGGGAGCTTAGAGGTCAGCTCATCCAAGCCATTCCTCAGGATTGGGGCTCCTGTGCTAAGCTAGAACAACCATGGAAATGAACTCCCCTCCTTCTCACGGTAACACCCCTCCCACCCCGCCCAACTTCCTGAAAATGCTGCACAGAGAAAAGGTGAGTTTTGCCACGGGCTTCTTGGAGAAAACCCTTCATCACAGACTCACCCGTGGGGGATATCTGTTGAAAGATGTTGTTGACTGGCAAGCCCTCTTTGCGGAGGGACCAGCACTCCACAATACTGTTGTTCTGATTGGAGGCGCACAAGAGCATCTGGGCGGAGGGAAAGAAACAAGGGGCGATGGTTAAAACACAACCCAGGACGGGCGTTTGGGTCAAGGGTCGAAAGCCCTAAAGGAGGAAGAGAAATGTGGCCTGTGTACAGGGACGGGGAAGGCTCCCAAAAACTGGAAGGAGAGATTTTCCCCAAACAGATCTTCCTGCAACATCTCCAGCAATGCCCCATCCACCACCTCCTCAAACAGCCCTTGCCAACCCCACACCCTTGTGACCGCTAGGACGCCTCTCCCCACATCTGGCCAGAGCCTGCTTCCCTGCATCTTCCAGTCTTTTCCCCAGAGCACAGCTCGGGTCGGACTGGGGGACCCTCCTGTGCCTCCCCTTAAACCTCCCTTTTGCCCAGACTGACCCCAACGGGCTCTTCCGACCTCCGTTTCATCACCGGGCAGCGAGCGGAGAAACGACCGGGCCTCACCTGCTCCGACATGTCCCGCGCGAGGAACTTCAAGTGGGTGATGGCGGGGTACTTGTCCTTCCGGGCCAGATCCGTGGTGCAGCGCATGAAGAGGGACGGCAGGATTTCCGTGTCGATCTTGCACTTCTCGCTCACCACGCTCACGCAGACCTTGTAGAACTGGACGGGCGAGGCGCTGCTGCCGTCCGAGGTGGCCACCACGATGTTGCCCCCACCGGTGAAGGCAATGTCGGCCAGGGCCACCCGGCACCGCAGGCGGCAGAGGCTCTCGGTGGACGTCAGCACCTGCCTGTTGGGCTTCAGCAGCGAGACCGTCACCAAGCCGCTGATGGTGACGGCGATCCAGCCCTCCATGGGCTTTCCTCCAAAGAGAGTGAGTGACGGGGAGAACTTCACCCGGGAGAACTTCTCGCCAAAGTTGGATGCTCCGGACTGAAGGAAGGGGAAAGCAGAAACCCCAGGATGCAAAGCCTTTCCCAGTCTGAGGGCCAAGCTCTGTTTCGGAGACACTCCCATCAGCTTTTGGCTGATTTTCGCTTAACCGGCTGGCTGCTACCATCAGCCAAGCCAAGCCTTAGAAGGGTTCCACCCTTTTTGGAGCAGGAAAACAATTACTAGAAAATAATAGCACTGGGAATAGCCAGCGCAAGGCAGTTGAAATACCACAAAGGGCCAAAGAGGAAAACAACTACTTAGATCAGAATTTTAATAAAAAGAGAAGCACACTCCCCGTGGAGCCCGCTGGGTTTTACACTCATCCTGAAGGGCTCTTCTCACCATGCTGTGCTGGTGAGGACCCTTCTGGTGCCTGCTTTCAGGGTCCCAAACACTCTGCTGAAAGAAGTCTGATTTTTCGCATCTTTTTTTTTTTTTTTGCTCATCAATGGAAAACCACTACTTCCATTCAGAAAAGCGCCTGGCTTTTAAATCGAGTTCATTTTCGCTAAAGATTTTAACTGAGAGGCACTGTGTACTTCTCAATTTCAATTGCTTTTTAATTGACCAATTGAATTGATATCCTGCTTTTGCACTATAAAAGAATGAAATTCAAGACAAAATGCTTCTCAAGACATAGACAAGTCAAGCAATCAATGGTAAGTGCACGAAAGATCGAAAACTGGCATCAAATCACACTAAATGAACTGATGGCTTCTTTTTCTCGCATTTGACGTTCACAACGACCCAGTGAAGTCAAAAAGGCTGACAGCATTGTGACCCTGCCCCTCCCCGGTTCTGGCCCAGCATCCTAACCCAACACCCGCCAGCGTGATAAATTTGTAATTGTTTAGGAGGATGTGCGTCTTTCTCTGTACCACTGCCACAGCATGACGACTGTGAAACCTAGACCTCTGAAACTTGGTGAGCGCATTAGGGCTGCGATGCTTAGCAGACCTCACTGGTTTTAATTTCCATGCGCCCCTGCAGCTCAAGACGGAAGGAATGTCACACCCACCAGGTCTGGTGAGCGCCGAGCATGTCATTTGCGGCAAAGGAAGATCAGCAGGCCACGGAAGAATGGCGAGGGAAGTCCTATCCCTCTGTGGCCTGTGGCCGCGCACCAGCACAGGTGCCATGCCCAGAGGGCCACCCCACATTTGGACTGCGTGGGAACCACACGTCCAATTCGGGTAGCAGCGCAACGTTTTCCCGGAGCCTTTGCTGCAGCGAACGAAGCCCCATGCCCACCCGCTCGTGGCTCAGTTCCTTCTCCAGCCCTCCCTCCGCCCGCCCCCAGGGCTTTGGGCCACAACGCAGAATCCCCAGGTACCTTTTCCACGTGCAGCGCCAGTTTCACCCCGTTATGGAGCCAGGAAAGCGCAACAACAGGGTCCCCCTCCACGACGCTGCTCACGGTGCTCTCCCAGCTATTGGCCAGGTGGTCCACCATGCCCCAGCACTTGATGTGGCCGTCTGCGTCGGCAGAGAGAAGCCGGGAGCCTGGAATGGAAAGCCGCCAGTTGTTGGAAGAGAAACAACCACTAGTTTGCCCTGCTGTGAGCATGGAAAGTAGCGTGGGGCTTTTTAGTTATTCAGCACATCCCACCTTTCTTCCTTCCAAGGTGGTTTACATAATTCTCTTCCTCCCAGTCTTATCCTCACAACCATATTGTGTGGCAGGCTAGGCTGAGAATCTGTGGTTGGGCCAAAGTCCCCTTGGTTGAGAGGGGACTAGGATCTGGATCTCCTGAGCTCCACATTCTTAGCTACTACACCACACTGGCTCTTACGTATTTCGCCAGCTTGAAGCCTGCTTTGAAAGAAGAGTTCCTAAACCAGGTTATAATGAAAGGAAAATGAAATACGAATAAAAACACAGTCACTGTCTCTTGCAGCTGTATTGAGAACACAGGGCCTGCCGTTCCACCGCAAAGACGATCCCTCTTCAAATTAAACTGGGAAGTGCCCTGCTAAGCATTTGCTTGAATAGGCTGTGCCAAATGATACACCGCAACTGAGCAGAACTGAATTCCTCACAAATCTGGATCAGGCCACTACCAAGTGCTGACTTCCCTCTTTGGAGAAACAGTGGGCAAGAAGGACTGAGCCGCAGGCGGGTTGCTGCGGAAGGGGATTCCTAGCCTGTTCTTCACCCGGTGGTCAGATGGTTGCCACCAGCGGGTTCTTGGATGCAGGCACTAAAGAGGTCAACATTTCACGGTGCTAATAAAGAGGATCTCCAAGATACTTTTATACTTTGGCTCCAACATCAAGCAATGGGTTACTCCTGGTGAACTTAAGTTCAGGAGCAAAGTCACAGATCTGTCTACTCCTCTGGGGGTTATGAGTCTCTTTTTCAGCCCAACGGCCTGTCTGACTGATGCAGCTCCCTCCCGCCCCGAACATCTGCCGCACTCTGCGGCTCGGACCACCTGCTCGGACCGCACTGTCGCTGCCACCGGACTGGGGCGCACCGCCAAGCCGGGGGCCAGCTGACGCAGCTCCCGTGGCCATCGCTGGGCCACCCCGGGCACGGAGGACGCCAGGGCCACGCCAGGCCCACCGCCGACGGCGCGGAGGAGGGCGCCGCCATCTTGCCGCCGGATGGGTTTCCGCGCCCCTCCCTGCTCCCCCCCCCGGCCGGTGCCAGTGAGAGCAACGCCGGAATGGGGCGGGGCGCGCGGGCGGGCGCCGGCTTAACCCACCAGATGCGGCCTGGGGCCGGTGGCCGAAGGGCGGTGCTGCCGTTTGTGGCCGTTCGTGGCCATGCGGGGCTGGGCTGGTGGGGGATTAGGTCAGTGGGGGGAAGTTTTATTTTGTATTGGGGGGGAAATGGGGAGTTTTTGATTGTTTTTAAAGTTTTATTGTATTTTAATTTGTTTTTATGGAGTCGTCCCTGGCCACGTCGACATTTGTGTTTCCTGGGGAGCGTGTGGGCGCCGCCATTGGGGTGGTCATGCGCAATGGACGTAACAGCGGTGGGGGCTTAACGTGTCCACGTAGAAGGAAGGGGGACAGATGGCTGACACCTATCCCTCCTTCTGGTTCTGCCCCCAGCCAGAGGGCGCCAGGTAGCCTTGTCAACCACCCCTCGGGCCTGACGGTGCTGCTGCTCAATGCCAGGTCGGTCAATAATAAATCTTCCCTCATCCATGACTTGATTGTGGATGAGGGCGCCGACATGGCTTGCATAACGGAGACCTGGGTGGGAGAGGGAGGGGATGTTGCCCTCTCCCAATTGTGCCCGCCCGGGTATCTGGTTCAGCACTGTCCACACCTGGAGGGGAGGGGGGGGTCGCTTTGGTTTACCGAGCCTCCATCTCCCTCACGGGACTTCTGGTCCCTTCGAGGCCAGGACTGGAGTGCCTCTACTTGGTGTTGGGCGACCGAGACAGATTGCTGATGTACTGTGCACCCTCCTGCCCAGCAGACTCTCTGCCTGAGCTGACGGAAACTGTCTCGGACCTGGTGTTGAGGACCCCCAGGATGTTCGTCCTGGGGGACTTCAATCTCCATGCCGAGTCTGGTCTGACCGGGGCGTCTCAGGACTTCATGGCGTCCATGGTGGCCATGGGGCTGTCTCAACATGTCACCGGTCCGACCCATGAACGTGGACACACTCTGGACCTGGTTTTCTCGATGGGGCAGGAAGAGGGTGACCTGAGGGTGAGAAATTTATGTTTGACTCCCCTGTCATGGTCAGATCACTTCCTGGTGAGGTTTGTGCTCGAGAGCGGCCTCTCCCTCTGTAAGAGTACAGATCCGATTGTGTTGGTCTGCCCCCGGAGCCGGATGGATCCGGATGGATTCCTGAAAGCCCTAGGGGAGTTTCCGGCTGACAAGACTGGTGCTCCTGTCGAGGTTCTGGTCGAACTGTGGAACGGGGAGATGACCAGGGCTGTGGACACAATCGCTCCCAAGCGTCCTCTCCCACCGGGCAGAGCCCGCTCTTCCCCTTGGTATACACCTGAATTGCGGGCGATGAAGCAGGTTGGGAGACGGCTAGAGCATAGGTGGAGGAAATCACGGGATGAATCTGACCGAACACACTTGAGAGCCCATTATCGGGCCTGTGCTGTGGCGGTGAGGGCGGCGAAAAAGAAATTCTTTTCCGTTTCCA